GATGTTCATTGTTAGCTCATTAAAAAAATTATTGCATGAAGCAAGTCAAGGAGTTGTCTAACCCCAACAGGGTAGATGCCTCTCGCCTGTTTGTTGCTCTCGGCCCTTATGAATGCTAGCCTATCTATTCTTTCATTCTTGTAATTTGCTTTCCGCTGTACTTTCTATTCATGCTATTGCAATTTGATGCCTTTACAATTATCTTCATTTGTTCTTATGAAGCACCTCTATTCTTTCTCCTGGTATCTCCTTAGCTTCGCAGTTACTTTAGTCTGCACCAATCTTGCTTTGTTTCGGCAGCATCCGTAAGGCTTATTTTCCTTAAGCTAAAATTAAATTCTTCTAGTTTCTTGTGAATATCCTTCAATAAAAGTAATTCTCTAACAATCAACTTCACTATCATTCCTTGGCCCTAAGGAATGCATACATTCGCCTAATTCAAGCGCTGAATCAAGTTTCCATAGCTTTCACGTGCGTGCATAAATTTATCTTGGCTGGGCCTACTTCATCTTTCATGGTTTATCAGAGCGTATGATAGCAACATAATGGCTGAAAGTCGAATCTTCGTTTAGACTTTCATATTTATGGTACAATATCAAAGTATAGCCCAATCAACACGGAAAAATCTAATCCTAATAGGGATCAGATAAGCAGAGAATGGATACTATCACTACCGACCCCTCTTTGAATTTCTCTACTTTGAATGTAAACTTATTAAAGCCAACTTGTTACAAATTGGGGATTAAATTTTTAAATTTCGTCCTCTTGTGCTTCATCAGATAGATCCCCGAATGCTTATATTTGTTAATGAATACTTAGGTAGTTGTGGCCAAGTTTATCAGGTAGCCCAGAATTACATACATAAATAAAGCTGAGCATTCTAGGAATCGGGTATTTATTCGAGCAGGTTCCACGAACTAGTGGGCATAGCAGCGTAGGCTCTTCATTTCGGTCAAGGCATGCTAAGCGAATATTTTATTGTTATGCAACCCCTATAAATTGGGCAAGCTGAGTAGGTAGATGCGCTGCGAACATTCGATTTTGCTTTCCTTTCGGAGGTGATGAGTCTTATGCCTTCACTCTAGTAAATTGGTGATAGTCTGTCAAATCTTTGCTTATAATGCAATAAGGCATTCTGAACCATTAAATTCTGGCATAACGCCAAAGATGAATCGCACATTATTTCTCCATCTAAAGAGGACCAAAGGAGCAGGTTATCAGTTTTCAAATGAATTTAACTTTGATATAAACGGGCGCCTTTCAGTGATTCTAGGGGGAGCTTGAGATTTAATATTACGTTAAGCAGATGGCCGCAACAGCTTGGTGACTTTAGGGCATATTGCTCGTCTGATTAAATTTGTCAAAGTAGATTCTGCGTTTAGGTAAAATTCGATATCCCATAGCGCCAGTAGCTTATTGTTTGGTGCTAGTTGATGCAGCGTAATATGAGCTATCAAATGAGTATTAGAAATTAAGCCGACCTAATTTGGGTGGATACTTTCCCAGGCAAACTTGTGAATGCAGAGTAGTCAATCTAAGTGAGG